CTCTGTAGAAATATACTACTCCATCTACTGTTGAATGACAAAAATACCAGAGATGATACAAAGAATGCCAAAGACATCATCAAGAAGAATAAGAATAATAAGAAGAATAATAAGAAGTACACTCACTGTAAGTAGAATGATCATGAAGAGTCAGTAACAAAGTAGAATAAATACAGCAGTTAAAGCTATCTGAGGCTTGTGAATCTGATAAGATCAGATGAAAGGCTGTTTGCGCTTGTAGAAGTTCTGACTTGTGACAAATAATAAGATCAATGAATTTGAGGACAATGTGAGGCTGAAGAATCATGACAAAGCTCATTATCATCAGCGATAAAATACTCATGTTGATTATTATTATTATTCTTCAATTATAGATGTATGCAGTCAGAGACTATGACATCTACCTGAGAATCTTTAGTTCTCAGAGTTTTTCCTATATCTATAGAGTCAACTATTATACATTTATCAATTTCAAATATGCAAAACCAGAAAATTCCAGCTCAGAATACAAAAACTGTTTACAAATTGCAGTATTTCAACACCTTCTGATAGTTTGAAATCATTTGAAAATATTATGACAAAAGAAAAGAGAACATAGTCTTAAAGATAGACACATTAAATAGATAGAGAAAAGAACAGAAGGAAATAAGTACAGTAAAGAGAGACTATAGCAAAACAAAATTATTAAAAGATGATGTATAGCTGTTTTAACAGACTATATCTAGTCAATTTCCACCTCTTCATATTCAGATACTTCTGAATTCAGCCATTTTCTTGTAGCTGCTCTAGTTTCTGATAGAAAGTCTATTAAGTATTTAGTTCCTGTCTCAGTTGAGAATAAGAACCTCATATTTAATTGATTTAAATCATACTTTTTCTTTAATCTGACTCTGAGACTATTGTATAATGCACAATGCATTACAATATGCTCAGGATTTTCATTCACATTGCAGAATGAGCACTCTGTTGAATCAAATCTATCATCAAATCTTTGTATATAAGATTTGAAATAACCATGTCCTAGTTTCAGCTGAATTATAGATGAGAATATTTTCTTTTTACATTTAATTGAATAAGATTTTCACTTTGATTTTGTCTCAAATCTTGAATAATGTATACTCTTCTTTTGATTCTGCCAGCTTTCATTTCACTTGTTTAAACAAGATTCTTTTATCTTTCTCTTTATGAAAGACCAGAACACTGTTTTTTGAATAGATCTGCTTAATTCTGAACCCTTTTTTACAGCTGAATCAGCCAATTCATTGTCATGAATATTCATATGAGCAGGAACTCAATGCAGATGAATTATCAGTTTTGATATTCTTCTCTTTTGAATTTTCAAAACAGAGTTTAAAATCAGTTCAAGATTTATTTGATCATTATGAATCTGACTATTTCTAAGTCTTTTTAAAGCAGCTTGACTATCAGAGAATATCCATGCCTCTTTCAAATCATTTCCTCTTTTATAAGATTTTATTTCAATGAGTTTGAAAGCTTTTACTATTGCAAATAGTTCAGCATCAAAGACTTCAGATTCACAGCCTAAATTCCAGAAATCTGAGATAAAATTAATATTATCTTCAGTATAAGCAATGCCTGCGCCTAATCTATTCAAATTCTCATTTTTTGAGTCATCTGAGTAAATCAGAATAGAGTCTTTTATATTAATTATAGAGATCTTCTTCAAATGCTGTTCATATTCTCTCTCTTTAGATAGTTCACTTATTTCTAAGTCTATGAGAGATTCCAGCTTTTCTCTTCAGAGAGATATCTTCTCATGATCAATTTTCTCAACATTTAATGAAGAAAATTGATTCTTAATAAGTGAACATAGTCTATACAGTTGAGAGGACATTTTCTTTAAAGTATTATTCTTATTTCAATCAAGAAATCTATTTCAATCCAGTTCATTTCCTGAGTTAACTGATGAAAATGAAGAAGAGACTCTTTCTCTGATTATATGATTTGAGCTCATCTTCATGACTCTCAAAGCATAGTTCATACAGGCCTTTTCAAATTGAATAGCAGGAGGTGAAATTGAAGCTTCAATTTCCATTGCTTTAATAGAAGATGACTTGAATGCTTTCAGAATTCTTCTCAAAGCTCTGTTTTATAGACTTTGAAAGAGTTCTGTGAAGTTTCCTTAATTGTCTCATCAAACTTGAACTTCATAATCAGCTAGTGAGGTAATATAGGCTATGTATAACTGTCTCATAGCCTGAAAGAATAGACCTCTCTCAGTATTTGATAGTCTGATTATACTATTCAGTAGTCTCTCTGTCTTGATGATTCTTTGTTAAATATGATATTTAAAATTCAACTTGGAGTTTAACCATACTCCTAGTCATTTGATATTCACACTGGGTTTAATCTCTTTATTCAAAAGAGTTAGACTTAGTTCTTTCTCATTAAACCTGAGAAAAAAGTGAATTAGCTCAGTTTTATTCATATTAAATTGAATTAGATTGATATCTGCTCTAATAAAGATTTTCTTTGCTGCTTTCTCAATTACTTCTAAATTCTCTTTGATTGTCTTTGAACTGTAGAGTAGATCAATATCATCTATATAACTTAGAGATTCCACTATTTTCATCTCTCTATTCTTGAATAGATATGCAGTGTATATTGCAAATAAAACAGATGAGATTGAAGATTCTTGTGATACTTCTATTTTTATCTCAGTTTTATCTTGTTTTCTTCCATCAAAGAATAGTTGTATAATTCTTTTAGACATGAAACAATTGACTCATTTTATTAGAGAAAGTGGCAGTTTTAACATCTTCAAAGTTTGAATCATCTTAGACTTTGAAACATGATCAAATGCATCTTTTATATCAATAAAAACTGCAGTTGAGACCAGGCCTTCATGCTTTGCTACTTGAATATCATGAATAACTGAGAGAACAGTATCAATTGCAGAACATTGTTTTCTATCTTCCATTTGTTCATTAAATAGAAGAGAATCACTAATAGAGCTTATAAAAGATAATCTAGTAGCTATTATCTTTTCTAGAATTTTTCTCAAACAGTTCAACAGAGATATTACTCTATATGACTTAGGAATTGAAGTCTTTCTATTAGGTTTTGCAAGGATTACTTCAGTAGCTTCTCTTCAGCATTCAGAATGGTAATCATTTTTTAAGAGATTGAAAAAGAGCTCAAAATATTCATTCTTCAAGTAGAAATATGTGTTTTGAATAATTGAGTGATTAATTGAATCAGGCTCTGCAGCAGTTTTAATTGAACTTGAGAATATTGCTGACTCTAGTTCATCATATGTAAGCTCAGGCTATTCCCAGTTATTTTCATCAATATATTCATGAAATGACATATTCCCCTCTTCTAAATGTGATGAGTTTTGGAAGAGAATTCTCATAAAAGCTTGACATTTTTCCTCAAAAGAGTTTGCTGTATATAATTCATTCTGAAATTCATATTCTAAGGTTGGAAGCTTTGCTACACTTCTTGTTTGAGTATAGTTGAAGGCTTTGAAAACTTCTTTTCCTTGTGCTTCTTCAAGAAATTTGTTCCAGCAATCTGTTTTGACTTTTTTAATATCTGAAAAATATTCATTTCAAATAGCTTTGAACTCTTCATCAGGTATTAAGTGATTCTTTCAATCTCTCTTAGCAGTGACTAATTGCTTTCTTTTAGAAGTGATATTTTCATTTCACCAGGGTTTGGAATACTCGGAAGACTTTTTCTTTGGAATATTTTCTTCAATACTTGTTAGAAGAATAGATGTAATCAGCTTTACTCTATTCTCAAGCATTTCATTTGAGATATCTTGACTTTGATTTCAATAGAGCTCACTCTGCCTTTCAGATTTCAGCTGTTTTACTCTTTCTTCAACTGCTTTTCAATCAGCTTTTTCAAAGTTATACTGATTAGAGAGAAGAGGATTTTCACTTCATTGTTTTTCACTCAGTTCAATATCAAATTGAATGATCTCATGACTCAATCCTGAGGTTTCATTTGAATCAATAAACCAGTTTATAAGTCTTTTTTCAATTAAATTTTGTGACATAAAAGTTAGATCTATAATAGATTTCTGTTTCATGTCTTTTCTAAAGAATGTTTGTTGATCAGACTTGTTAACTAAATCTATTGAATGCTCAAAAGTTCATTTAACCAGTTTATCTGCTCTTACTGCTCTTGTGCACTCTGAGTTTTATCAGAGATGATGTGCATTGAAGTCTTCTGCAATTATAGAGTTTTTTAAGGAAGTTATATTCAAAAATCCTCTATCAATTGTCCAGGTATTGTTATTTTCTTTCAATGATTTTTCATTATAGATATTTATAAGTTGAATAGTATCAAACTCATTATCTTTATCTATAATGTCACCCACTAGAATGTCAGAGTCAGATATGATGTCAAATCTCAGATTAAATTGATATCTTGATCTTTTTCTTCCATAGATTGCTACTCTTGATTTCATCTCAGATTTTTCAGGAAGAAAGCAGTAATAGCTTGAATGAGAAATGATGTACTTTTGCTCAGTATCAAAGTTTGGTTCTTGAAGAAGTACAAAGTCAACTTTTTCTTCAAATGCAATCTGAAGACAAGAATAAATGCAATTTGAGTTTCTATTCACATTGTTTTGCATAAATGTGATTTTTGAAGAGTTTTTAAACTTTTTTTGTTGTTTTTGTTGTACATTCATACTAAAAGAGAGTGAAGATATAGTAGAATCTAATCACTATCACCAGATAGTAGATTATAACTATTTTAAAAAGCAGGAATCTCAACTGCTTGCATTCTATCTAGTCTATCATCAGAGTCATTTCTCAATTCTCTAATCTTAACAGATGTTTGAGGATTCAAATTCTGTTTACATTTAGTTGGAAAATTGGAGTTTGAAGACCTAGATAGTTGAGAGTTTCTTCTTTTTGAGCTTGCAGTTGTGAATTTACTAGCTTGACTTTTCTCTTCAGTTTTAGATTCACTTTGTGCTTTATCTTTACTCCAGTTCTTCTGAGTTCTTGAAGCAAGTACACATTCTTTTGAGCTAGATGCATGTTTTTCTTTGTAATTGAAGCACTTAAGCAGAGTATGTTGACATATTTCACCTCTTTTTGAGCATGTTTCACATTTATGCTCACTAGTTTGTGATCTCTAGCATAGAATGCGCATTTTGAGTCTCTGAAACAAGAGATTGCAAAGTGTTCATATCTTTGACAGTTTGAACACTGTGTTTGAGCTTTGAGATTCATTCTTGAGTCTTTGTATTCATGAACTCTCATTTTCAAACCTGCTACTCTTACTTCAGAGATTCTTGATTGTTCAAGTGTCTTTGTATACACTAGAACAGAGGCATTTCTTCTACTCTGTCTGAACTCAATTGAATTAAGCCATACAGGCTCTTTTCTCAGTTGAATAGAATTGTATTCTTCTAATTCATTTTTGAGAAGCAGCATTCCTTTCTCACAGTCAAAAATTTCAACTGGAATATCATGAAGAATGAATTTGCCCCACTTTTCATCTCTCTCAGATAGAATTGTTGTATTCAGTAGAGATTCTATTGCTGATTTCCAGAGATTCTCATTCTGAATGAGGAATTCTGCACTGAATTCAGGCATTGTAGTCAAAATAATAGAATTTTCAAAGAAAGATGACTCAATTGAAGCTATGACTGGTTTTTGAACTTCAATATCAGTCATTAACTGAGAAAAGAACTGCTGATTAATTTCATTTCTAATTCTGAAAATAAGATTTGAGTTTAGCTTGTTTTTTTGCAAGCTCTCCTGATTTGAGACTTTGAGAATAAGTCTTCTATTTCTGAAGATTTGAAAGTTCTTCTCTTTTTGCATTTCTTTTTTTTCTTTTCTATGAACAGAGGTCTGAGTAATATTCTTCTCAGTTTTCTCAGAATTTTGAGCAGATTTTGAACTAGCAGGTTTGGAGACAGCAGATTCTGCTACTTGAGCATATGTTTTCTTCTGATTTGAAGAAGAAGATGAAGAAGTAGAAGATGGAAAAGAGTCAGTGACTGTACTGGAAGATTTCAATATTTTTTGAATTGTGTTTGAAATTCCTACCCATGTTGAAATCACTGGTTATTGGTTGCAATGTGCAGAACTGACAGGAAATCGAGTAGAATATATCATTTAACAGCAATTCAATAGTGTGGTAAAATGACTTGTGCAAAGACAAGAGTGTTTTCAGTTGTAAATTTCATGATAAATATTGCTGCCCAACCTGGGCAGAGTACATCATTACTAGTGAAAACAAAGAGAAAATTTTTTTACTATTCTTCTTGTCTCTAAATTAGTGCGGTAGCATAAATCTTTAGTGTTTTAAGATATTTTATAAGATCTGTATTCTTTCTATCTACTTGATTGGTCATTGAAAATCTAGATTACTTAGCAAGTCTTCACACTAGATCTGAACTCATCTCCTCATCTGCATTCAAAAGCATTTAAAGCCTGTCATCATTTAAAAGCATCTGAACCTCATAAGCAATGTAATGAATCATCAAGTTTCAGAGAAGAGATCTTTCACCTGGCTCATATCTGTCAGTATGCGTGTAAGTGAAGTCAAGCAAGTTGAGAATCAGAGATGTTATTTCTCTGTTCAGTGAGAAGTCACAGAGATCTTGATGAAGACTTTTTAGACATTGAATCTGCAATGATTCAATGAGATATGTTGTTGCAAACATGTATAATTTTGCATGGAATAGAATGCATGAGTGAGATGAGACTGAAGCTTTCACACCACTGAATGACTGAGCCCTGAAACTTTTCCAGAGTTGCTCATAGAGGTATACAGTATAGACTGTGAGAGATATAGATCCCGCTCAATTTGACTTCTTCCGGTCTTTTTTACCTGATCAAGAATTGAAAACCTTATTATCTTCCTGCACTTTGTTGAATTCAGCATTGCTTTCAGCTATGGTTTCAAGGTTCGTGAAGAACTAAGTGATTATGCTCATTTTCTCAGAGTACTTGATGAGAGTGTTATATACACCTGTTTATGCAAATTCGTAAAATTCAGTGAAGGTGTCAACATTGACATTATCTAGTGAATCATCTTCTGAAATAGACTCTTTCATCTAGCCATTGTGAATCAATGCGCTTAAAGGCTCAGACAGGTTTTGTACTATACTGTTATAAATGACTATATGAGTCTGATCAGCACTCACAAGGAATTCATATGATGATGAGTCAATGATACTGCTTAGATTAGACAATTCTAAGGTTCTTTCAACATGTATAACTCTCATATCTCTTGTAATTTAGCATTCTGAGAATATCTAAACAGATATATTTTGAACTATAGTCAGAGAGCAGTGAGAAATGTTTGTGTTCATATTTCTGAAAAATTCCTCAGGTTTACTCTGCATTAAGTTGCCTTACTTGTATCTTGTTTGAGTAAATCAATGCCTGTCACGGCCTTCTTTCTTTGCATCAATGAAAAGAGTATCAGTGCATCTGGAAAATTGAAAAGTTCGGAAATCATATGAGTGACGCGAGTCCTCTAGAGGCTCATTGTGAGAGGCCTTATTTACTCATTTCCCTGAACTAATGTTTTCTTTTTTCTTTATACTTGATCTCAGTAATCGCATCTGATGATGAGAATGCCGGTTATAACACTGAACATATATGTGAATCTTCAGAGATTGCTAAGAAGAGGTGCAAATAGTTGACAGAGGCATGTTGAGAAGACAATACTGCTAGAATAGTTTGAAATCAAAAGAAGAATACGAATTTTCACATGATTGAATTAGTTCATATTGAGGCCAAATTTTCCCCCCTGCTCATAGAGAGAGATAATTCCTGACATTTTTAACAGTTAAACCCTCACTTTTCAATGCAATTGATTAATATAAGGAAAATAGAGAAACATTTGAAATGAACTGATACACTATGTCAAGACAACAAGGCTATAAGTCAGAGAAAACTTTTTTCCTGAGTGATTGCATCATGCTTTGTAAATGAATAGCATGATCAAATTTCAGAACTGTCAGCTAAATATGAAGTGAAATGCCAAGGAATTTGAGTAAGATATGCAGAGTGGAGGAGATTTCCAACATTCTACAGTAGCAATGATATAAAACTAGATGTGAAATTTGCAAATTAACTTTCATAATAGACTGGTTGAATCATGGCACTGAGAGATATGTAAAAACAGTTCAAGACATGACTAGTCTGAGTGAACTTGAGACAGGATTTATTAGCTGATGAGATAGAAAACAGTTCAGAGATCAGAATTCTGACAGACAACTAGATTGAATTTTCTGAGAGAGAGAAAACAAATGTAAAGTTCATGCATTGATCTTTCTACAATAAGAATGAACATGTGCTGATAACTTTAGTTATCATCTTCAACTTTAGCAGGCATCTTTACACAGTAATAGAATACAATCTTCTCTCTAAAGCACAGATATTCATAACAACTGTTACAGAGAAGTGTATCTCAGTCTTTAATACTACAGCAGAATGAATACAATGCAGTTAATCTTCAAAAAGAACTGGTGATTTTGCAGTGTTGTGAGAAGAGTTTCACCTGTTTATCTTGAACTGCATGAAACTTGTATTGACTGTTCAACTATATACATATCTTCTTAGCAATCTCTGATGATTCACATGCGCGTTTCTAATATTGTCATCATCTCTTTTCACATTCTTGACCTGCAGCCTCAGTGAGTTGCATGATTCTCTTCTTGAATTATAACTCAGTCTAATATCACTGTGTCAGTTAACAAACTTTAATTTAAGTTTGAATTACAACTGTATCTGATGAGTTTTGATCATTGACTTCAGAAGTGCAATATATAAAAATAGAGTCTTGACATTCGCGAGAATTAGTGCACAGTCAAAGCCATCTAATTTATAAATATACTGTTTTATATATTCTTCCAGTCTCTTCTGAATGTAGCTCACCTGTTCCTGACTTAGAGATTTATACATTTGCTGAAAAGACATTATCAGTTGACTCTCTGCAAGAGCTGTATAAATTGATTAAGTTCAATCTGCTACAGGTCTTGAGAGCTGGAGATTCAGTGAATTTCTGAAAAGAATGATATAAATGACTTTCTCAGCAGCACTTTTTTCACAGTATACAGAACTATGAGCTGTCAATTCTCAAATGCATATTGTCTGCACTGAAGATGTCAGCCTTATTAAGTCAGTAGAGCTCAGAGAGCTGTTTTTCTGAGACTCAACAGAACTCTGCTACTGAGCTCTTTCAGTCATGATTATTTCTTAATTAATACTATTATTATTTTCTGCATTCAGATGTCAGTTATAACTCATTATTAATAGAATAATGAAAGTTTTCATTGCATCTGTGACAGAACTTGAATCACTGTTATCTCTGCTAACTGCTAAGCTAGTCTCTGATTTCTTAATCTTATAAGTTTGAGTTGTTCAGACACTCATGATGAAAGTGTGATGTTAAATTATTTACAAAGCTAAGTGATCTTTATAAGAAGAAAAGAAAAGATGAAGTGATGAAAGCAAAGTGAGAAGAGAGCTAGCTTTATATATCTCAGACTCTCTGATCTATACTAATATTTCTCTCTAAAGACAGTACACTCTTCACATTTTCAGATAATATTTGACTAGAGATGTTTATAAAATTTGACTAACTTTCATCATCAATTATTGAATCATGACAGAAAATCAAACAAGGCGGATTTCATTGAGATTCAGTGTATGACAAGCAGTATTATTATCAGATACAATTACAGATAGAAAAATATAAAGAAGAAAGAAAGAATAAATTACATTAGTTATCACAGAAAGAATATCTGATGAATAATCTTTACAAACATAAGAGTCAGAGAGAATGTGTAGAAATCTATCTCAGTTTATCTACTGAGAAAATAGACTTTGAATTAACATCTTATTAAGCAAAACATCAGAGAGTCTCTCAGATTGATTATTTACATTAAACATTTCATTATAAAAATATAAAACTGTTATCAGATATAATTATTAAGAGATAAAACAGAGTAAACTAATAGATCAATTTCTCACTTATAAACAATCTTTATAAACATAGAACAAATATGGTAGCTAGGTATAAGAAGAAGAATTAAATTAAATTACATACTAGATAATCTCATCACTTACTCATTTATATTAAATAAGACTGAGAGGCAGATTACATACTTCTATGATCATGATATTCTAATTATACATGATCTCAAGACACTCTGTGCAATTAAATACATATGCGAATTTCTCATTCAATTTCACAGCCTGCTTCAGATAAGTGTAAAACACATAATCTTTACTAACAGTGATAAGTGTATAAGTGATCATAGCTAGGTTTCTGATCTAAAAATGAATATACAGTTAGAGATAAGATATGAATGATAAGTATTTCATTATATATCTCTCAGACACTGAGATTTAAACTCTTCAGTTTATACAACTTATCACTGAACAGCTGTAAGCTTTTCTGATACATATATAACTTTGAAAGAAAACTTCTTCAGATATCTCTTCGGAATTCTCAGCTTAAAGTCTTATACTTCAGCTTATAATGAACTCTACTAAGAATAGCATTATTAAATTCATTGACACAGTTTGTAGTAAGAAATAAAACTCTCTTAAAATATTCAAGTTTGCAGAGAAAGATTATCACAGAATAATTATAAACTTTATTAACAGAGTACTCATGTAAAAAGACATCAACTTCATTTACAAGAAGTATAGTATTGAAATAACTAGCAGTTTTAAATATGTTGAAAATATAATTCTTCAGACATCTATCTCTGATTAATTTATCTACAGATATCTAAAATGTAATATTAATCTTTGACTCTTACTCAGGTGAATTAGAGACATACTTTGTAAAGAGAGTACTACAAGTACTCTGTTAATATCTTAGTGATAAAAGTCTTTTCAAGATCTAAATATTCATTAATATTAAAGTCAGAGTGCTTTATTCACTAAGTCAGAATACAGATACTTACTATAGAAGTATATTAAGATCACACTCTTTATTAGTAATAAAGTTATTAAAGAGAATACTAGATATCAGATCTAATTAAGTTCTTACTAAAGTTAAGAGTATATCTCTTTACTAACTCAGAATCTTAAGATTTTTAAAAAGTATAAATAATCATTTAACTTAATCAAGATCAGTAACAGCAAACTTCACTGAAATTAAAGATTAATAAGAATATCAGTTAAAAGTAGACTGACTACTGAGATTATGAATTTCACATTTAATGTCATTTAATCTGATCTCATACATTTCTTGATGTGAATCCCGCTGGGACTAATCATTAAAAAAACATGCAAAGTGACTATATATCAGATCTCAAAATGAAATCATGACTTAGAAAAAATAAGAAAGTGATTTCATTTAATCTCATTTAGTCTCATTCTTGACATAAAGTTACTATTTTTAGACATTTTAAGGTTTTATTTAGACTATTTTTAATTTTTTAAAAAGTAACACTTTTTGATAATACTCAAATGAGATTTAAAGTCATTTAAAGTAATAAAAATAATTTAAATTAAGAAGTGAAAATCATGATCTCATTTAAAAAATATAATAAAAGTAGATAGTAAGTCTCACTAAGATAGTATAAGACTACTATTTAATATTAGAATAGTGTAATGAGATCAGTTGAATTAATAATAGAATTATTAAATATTCTAATTCTGATCTCAGACACAGTCACATAATCAGTCTAGTTAAAAGTTAGTCTCACTTACTTCAGATATTCTTATTAAAATAGAACTCTAAAACTATTAAATAGTAAATAAGAAAGTTAATATTCTTTATTTTAGATAAGTTTATCTTATTGCTTTTTATCTGATCTTATATTCACTGATTCTGATTATTAAAAAACACTGAAATATTAATATAAGTAATACTATTATTATTTATATAGAAGTTATTTTACTGATTAATTTATAATTTAATATAGTTCAGATTTATCTGATGAAAGAAAACTGAGTTAATTATAATATAATTATTAATACAGATCTGAACTATCTCTTCTTATACTTTAAAGAAAGCACAGCTGTAATAGTAATAAATATACTAACTCTTCAAGCTGTAAAATTTTCAGCTGAAATTGATAATAGATATTATAATATCTGATTTATTAAGATAATAATTAAGAGAGAAAGTCTTAAGAGTATGAATAAGTCTGAGTCTGTGAAACTCAGCAATCTTCAGCTGAGTATCAGCTTCACTGAATATCTCACTATTAAAGTTCAGATAGTGATAATCTAAGCTAAAGTATTTAATTCTGTTTATTTTCATTTTCTCTTCTTCAGTATTAAATATAATATATCAGAGCTTGTCAGTCTCTAGACAGGTACTGTATATGAAGATTTCTGACTTGAAAATGATTCAAAGCAGATTGTAGATAATCTCTTCTCTTTTCAGAAGTGATGAAAGACTCTGAATTATAAAAGCATAGATATTCTTAATATACCTGATGAGTAGGTTCACATGCTTCAAACATGAGTTATCATAATCTCTTCCTTTCTTAGTAATGTACTTCTTGAGGTCGGGAAGAAAGTTGTACAGGAAATTCCACTCAATCTGATTCAGGGTTAGTGACTAGTTCAATGTGAATGAGTAGAAGAGTGAGACAATATTGAAGACTTATCCTCACACAAGCTGATAGCTCTAACACCTCTCAGTATTTCTCACAGCATGTTAAGCAACACCTTTGACTTAATATCAATGAAGGCCCTAGTTTCCTTGGTCATCCGGTCTGATATGTTGTCAGTGGCCAAACATGAACTGGTATTGAGATCATGTTTCTTACTGAGCTGCTTCCGGACAACAAATATATATTGATCAAGATCATCAAGTGCCTCGTCCTCTCTCACTGATTCCACAATCTTATAGTTCAACTTGTCCTTGTCCCACCTAACTGGTAGTGAGCATAGAGAGGATGTAAGGATTGAATATTGAGACATACACTTCATGAACTTCCTTGAATTCAAGCTTTGATGCTCCAGCTTTCATCTCATTATCTTCCTTATACTTGCTTTGCTCCGGCTTAGTAGCTTCAGTTGGCTCCGGAGAATCTGGCGATTTCTTGACTTCATGAAAAATATCTATGAGAAGCTGTTGCAGGTGTCGCATTGTAACGGGCTGCTGAGCAGCACAATGCTGGAGTCCTTCAGCGATAAGAGTGTTCGGAGGCGGTTGAGCTGCAGCAAAAGCAGGTGCCTTGCCATTAGGCTTCATTCCTTTGGACATTGTGTAAAGTAAAGTGATAAGGTGTAAGACTGGAGTGTATACCTGGTTTAGCAGGGCTTAAGTTTTATGAATACAACTGTCCATTGCTTCAGGATTGGGAGGGAATCCTGCCTCCTTATATGCTGTTGTATTGGACTCCGTAGATCCATCTATTCGACATGTCGAACCATCTAGACGCAGGATATGTTGTTCACACTGACCTAACCCATGCGAGGCACATTGCACTCTGCGCCGCAAATATCCAGTCCTCGGAGCATTGGGGCGTTTGGGGTTCCAACTGGCAGAGAGCTCCAGGAAAAACGAACTGGATGCCAGGTGCGTTGTCCCTGAACCCAGGTGCAGCTAGAACAATCGATCACGAAGGGTTGTCGCTTGGGATTGACGACAGTGAAGGAAGAGAATATTGTCATAGCTTGCAGTAGTGGGATGACCCAGGGTGCAGAGGAAGCTGGGCGTAGCGAAACCGTTTTTAAAGGAAGCCAAATGAAAGAGCTACCAGGCAAAGGGATGTTGGTATGGCGATTGAGGTTTCATGTATCATCCAATCGTAAATTGTTTTGGTATGATGTAACTAAGCGGGGGAAATTTTGCTGACCTATCTCAGACAGAAATATTTCGTTCTCTCCGCCTTTCCAAGTTGCCGCGTCCTTCAGCGAGCGACAGTATATATTCCACCAACTTACTTGGTCGAGTCTTTCGTATTCCAATACTCGTGCAGATCGGGAAAGATGGCTGCATCTGCGCTGGAAATAGCTAACTCGACTTTGAGCCGAATCATGTCCGATCTTTGGAGCTACAGCCATGTGGATAGCCCACTTGACGACGTACTACAGAAAGTGTTGCACCTCAAGACACAGCTAGAGGTACAGAATGTCTTACAGGCGACTGTTCTGCTGTTGCGACGGCGGCCAAGCAATCAACCCCTTCCGAAACAGCAAGCTGTCAGAGTGAAGCATCTCATGAAATTCGTTTTTGAAAAAGCCAGTCGCGAGAAAAAAAAGCAAGAGAAGTTGAAAAATCTCGATTGCAACTCCTTGGTTTTCCTGGGCCTTTCTTACAACGTGAAGACACTATATGAAATGCGGATGACCCAGTTTGATTTTCTTATTGATAATATTGGAGACTTTATACGGCGCCATAAACTTAACGATTACTTGTATCGAAGCGACATTGACAGAGTTGTCAATGGCCAGTTTGACGCAGAAGATGACGACTCGTTGAAGGAGTTTCAGAAAAGTGAGTACATCAACTGCTATATCGAAATGTTCTGGACTAATATTACAAGGGCGCATTGAGCTGCGACCATCGAAACGAAAATTTTCTGACGGTGCGACCATTTCACAATCACTTTTGGAGCTGAATTAACCGCAAGCAGATCAACAATCAACACCGAGCGATATGCGTGAGAGTCGCAAGAGCCAACGGCGTTATACGCCTGATACACTTCACCGTGCGCGTCAAGGAATTCTAAGCAGCGAACCTCCCCCAATTGGTACGCTCATTCTATCCTTATGTGATTCAAGGTTAACGATTGCCCAGATTCACTTACCGGGGCCGCATATCAACTCACTGTTAAAGACGCCCAAGCCGTGACAGCCTCTGACCAGATTCGGGGACAGATATGGTTGACAAACACATACAACATGAACTTTCCACCCTTCGTCACCATCCCAATCTCTCAAGAGATGAGTGACAAGTTTGCTACACAGCTCCAGCAAATAGACCTTTCGTCACACAATCTCAAATTTCAAGGTTGATATTCCATCAATATATACCCTAGCTGTCGCTTGTATCCACCCTTCGGATATACCCTAACCGTATCCTTCCAATCGTGTAATAATACCAATTGCCATCCCAAGGCACTATAACAACGTGTCCGGCTTCCTCTGTCCCTACACCGTCAACAAATTTTCCACCTTCCGCCTCATGAATCCTCACTGCTCCGGCATTGCTCCCAATATCGACCGCAACCGCTAGTGTACTCGACGGGGGGCTCGTTCTGATGTTATTTGTTGGAGTTATCCACTCTATGCTACCATCGATATCGCCAACCTAACAACGTCAGTATGTTCCGCTGATAGTCTGGTCGGGAAAGAAAGAAGTCCGTGTTGGAGCCTTGGGTTGAGAGACTTACTTCGTGCTGGTAGAGGGCGAGAATATTCTGGTCGCCTGTTTCTTGAGTTCTGAATTTTCGTGCCATTTTCGACAATATAATCGTTGGATGATTGTGGAGTTCAGTAGGCGTTCTCGCAAACTCGGTTTCACAGATACCGACCACAGAAGTACCTGGGATGATTGATTACAGAATGGTGTACTAAGTAGTAAAGCAAGGGTTCACTCTTGTTTTGTGGGGCGATTTCTAAGATATAATTAGCAAAGAGGCATGACTATCCCAAAGTGTCATAATAAATTTGATTCCGTAAAATGAAAATTGAGCAGAGCGTCGTCGGGTCAAAAACATCTTGGGTATTGGACTGAGATGGAAGTCGGGTTGTTAAAATAAAATGCTGGTGCAGAAAGAATCATATGAGAAAATCGGGTAAATGGTGGGTGGGCACAGTCAAGTGGAGGGGCTATTGAGGGGTCGGATGGGGCATACCAATGATGTAAATCACTGTTGTCATAAGGATCGAGCTGAAAATTGTAAGCCAGTAAAAGTTTTATCGTCGTTGGCGTGTTTCCAGCGTGGTTGGTGAAATTTGGGTGGCACCTTGGCAAGATCCCATCAGAAGCTACTTGTGGTGGGGTCGGGCATCTGTGCATAGAGTTTTTGTGGAAAGGTGTAAAGCTTGTGTGATTGTAAGGTTGCTAGCTTGTGGAAAGTTATATGGTGGAAGGATTAGTAAGCCGGATCACGTGACCTGACACCCCCACTCACCAGAGTAACTATACACAATGCTATATACAAAATTCGCCTTCAAATCAAGTACAGGTACAAAAAATGACTGGAAAATGTGAAGTAATGAAAAACCAGTCATGATATACATCATTTTTTATCCCTCTATCTCTCTATCTTCTTTATATTCTCTTTCCAACATGTATATTTCAACATTTCAAGTGGTTTAGTAAGCCCATCCGCCGTGTTCTCAGCAGATGAAACATATCAGATAGATATCTTGTTCTTGCAGACAAGATTCTGAAGAATGTGAAAACAGACCTCTATATACTTCAAGCAGTGTGGAATTGCTTTGGAAGAGAATAGCTCTATGACAGACTTATTATCAGCATGGATTGTATAAGCCAGACCATTGACTGTGGTGGGAATGAGGTGATCATCGGCATTCAGATTGTTGAGACAGAATGGGATGAATCCAGTGTCTTCTAGAAGCTCTTGAAGACAGACAAGCTCATATGCGGCCTCAGAGAATGCAATATATTCGGCCTCTATTGATGACTTGAAGACCCCTGTTTGTAGACTGGCCGGCGGGACCATGAATTTCACATTTGGTCCCATTTGGTCTGGTCTCATACATTTCTTGGCGTGAGTCCCACCAGGACCAAGCCTCAAAAAAATCTGAAAATGGATCATTTCTGAGAGAAATGATATGAAAAATGACCAGATTTAATTCAAGAACAGTGAAATGAGAGTAATTTTTCAGAATAAACTGTGAAAGATAATCATTCTTTCAAAATCAGAATGAGACTGAGACTGAAGATTAAAATCAGTCTCATTCAGTTCATTCAGTGATTGCTTATATAATCAGAATTTGATAACAATTATTGATAACACTTATGAAATAACTAAATATATTCTTATACAAGTTTATTCTTCACTTTCTCATGAAAACTACACTTCTCTGATATACTGTGATGAGAGATATTAAACTGTCTGATAATTTCATGTTTTATAATCATGAGTTTCTTAATTGTTTCTTCTTGTAATTGTCTCTGATAATAGTGATAAATATCTCAACTTGAGTTGAACTTTTACTTCATTCTTATCTCTGTTAATGAAATTATCAGAATATTATATATTATCAGTGTAATAGTTGAATATATACTCTCAACAATTTTTCATAACTCTAGAATTGATTTAGTGTGTAAATTTATCAGATTATCTTGAAGATAGTGATCAAATTCAGTTTTATAAGTATATAGTTTTGCCTGATTTTCAGTTGTAATCAATGTATACAAGTTCTGTTTCAAAGTTAGTATTATAGTTCTATATAATATAAAGTGTTATTAAAGATCATTACTTACTAGAGAATTATATTTCACTATCTTCATATCTTGAACATCTGCTCATTCAAATCTCTGATAGTTGATATTATAGTAGTCTCAGACTAATTTAACATATAAGTCTCATTTCTCCTCTGTTCAATCTTGAGAAGTGTAGATATTAATTCAATAAAAGAGATTTAGTAGAGCTGCTACAGTATAATACTCTGTAAAAGATTGTTCTATTTTGCTGTAGTAATATATCAGTTTATTTCTTACAGTAACAATAGTCTGTACTATAGTATTATTTCAGACTGAATTTTTTTTTAAGTGATTTAACTGCTTCTTAAGATAAGTAAATAAACTGTTATACACTTATCAGACTGACTGCAGTATTAATGTACAAGTAATTGAGACTGTCTTTATTATCTTATAAAACTGAAACAGTAAATTAATTACATATTTCAACTGAGTTCACTTTATATCTGAAAGTTTCAATATCTGAATCTTTTTCTAATCAGAGTGTTACACTTAATAATCAATTATCTAATATAATTAAAGAGTCTGAATAGTTATCTTATATATTAAACTTCATTATATTCTAATATTCTGTATCATATTCAGTGATGTGACTGATTTATTTATTTATTGAATATCATGAAATTGTTATTATTATTTAGAAGAGGTACAAATCACATTAGCAATGTTTTAAATCTATGATATTTAAATTATTAGTCAATCTATTCAAAATTAACAGTAGCATTATTAAAAAGTATTATCAAAAAGCAATATTAAAAAGTGTTGTTAAAAAACATTATCTTTTATAAAGTAGATATAAAAATTACTTAAGTAATCACTTTCATCTCATTCTCATTTCAAGAATCAGTCATCTTATTATTCTTTATCTTGATATTAAGATTCTTTATCAGTGTTTGTATTATAAGTTGAATCATATGAGCAATGCAGAGAATATGACCTTGTTTATTATTTCAGAAATACAAAGTCAATTTTTACTTTAAGCTCTTTATCATAGTATAGTTATTTGCAGCATTATCAGTTGTAATTGTAAGAAGACTGAGACTAATATCTTAATAGTTATTTTTAATCACAGTTATTAATATCTCTGCTATATAATTCTCAGTATGACTACTAATCAATGATTCAAATTCAATTAATATCTCTTGATAAGTTCAGTTCTTATCAATGTAATAACATGTAACTCTTATAAATATAAGATTGTTTATACTAGTTCATGCATTCACTATGAGAGATACTCTTCAATAATTCTTCAACTCTGATTCTAGATATTGTATATTAACTTTGTAGTGTGTCTTGAGATTGAACTGAAGACAGAATTAATATGAAATATGAAGATTTGAATTAAGCATTTAAAGAAGTGTTCAGAATTCAGGGTTTTTAATTAATTGAAGAGAAAGATTCAGAGATATATATATATAAAGTAATTATTCACAGAAGTTATCAGATAAGAGTTGTGAAATCAGAGTACTGATACAGAGTTATTTTCACATAATTTTCTTCAAATTAGAAAGTTAGTATTATTAAAAATCATTATCTGATAGAGTAACTTATCAGCTCAGTAGTAATTTTCTGATTATTTTTCTTTTATTGTCTGCATTCTGATAACTTCAGATATCAGAAAATTTCTTCAGAGTTATAATCAGTCTATGATGAATATTTCTGAATGAAGTTGCAGTGATTGTAGTAAAGAGATGACTTTTCAGTAATCTATAATACAATCTGTTAATAATTATTTCATAGTTCATCTCAATATTTGTGTTAAGTTTTTCATAAATTTTGTAACCTGAAATCAGATGTGAAGAATGAAGTGATTATTTATTATAATTGAAAGAGAGTATTCTGTGTTGAATTGTAAATAATGTAGACTTTATAATTTACAGTGATTTTTTAAAGAGTTTGTGAATCTTCAATAGAAGTAAAAGAAGTGAAAGAAGTGAATTCAGAAGATATAATAATAATTTGAGAAAGATAATAATTTATTTTTAATAACTGATTACTGATGTGTGTAAGAAGAATTAATATAAGAGAAAATAATCTTGTTTCTTAGCTTAGTTATAATTTTAGTACTAACTCAGATTGAATATCATTGATATATAAAAGTAAATAAACAATCTTGATTAATCTCTGTCATATTTCTTGAAATATATTAATATTGTGAAAGAGAGTGTTATCAAATTATATTATCAGATGATATTATTAAAAATATATTAATATTGTAAATATCAATGTTGAAAAAATGTTGATACTTATACATTATAGTGATTTATGAATCATGATAGTTAAATATATATATATATATATATCATTCCTGACTTGATTATAACTTGTACAATAATTTTTGAAAACTCAAAATCAATTTTAATTATTAATAATTAAAAACTTAAACTTATAACTAACTAATATAAAAAGAAAAAAATCTACTTCTTCTCTTTCTTATTCTTCTTATCATTCTTCATAATTCACTTCTTATTCTTCTTCTTCTTCTTCTTCTTCTTCTTCTTCTTCTTCTTATCTGAGATAATAATCATCTTAAAATCTCTCTTCACTGCCTTCTCAGAGAAGGGTTTCTGCTACTCTCTCTCAGCCAGATTAATCTGTATCTCAAAATCCTGCATTTTCTGGTCTGCTGTCTCAGGTTCTATCTCAGTGACAAGCAGATTGACATGCTCAGAGAGCAGGGCTGCCTTCTCAATGTCCTGAATCATGAAGCACATTTGAGACCTGAACAAGGCCTCAATTCCCTTCTTCTCTGCCAGCTCCTGCTAATTAATTAGAGAACAGAAGTATTACTAAAAATCATTATCTCTTAATAAAAAACTTACTAGTTTTAACTTCTTTGTCTCTTACTTTAATATCTTCTCAATCTTCTTCTATCACTGTTTATTTATAGTAACACTCTTCTTCTCTCTCTCTCTCTTTATCTTGATCTTAAATCATTCTTAAGACTTCTTCTGATCTTATCACTGCTGTATGAGACTCTTCACTGTCTTCTTTTTCAATCTCTCACCAGCAGTGTCATCTGCATTATTTCTATACTTAGTTCAGTCTAAATCTATCAGAAGTGTTACTTAAAATCATTATCATTCTACTCTCTTACAGAGCCTCTTCAAGGCATTATAACATGTCTTATAATCTGTCTCTCTGTGCTTAAACATCTTCTTCTTCTCTTTCTTCAATCTGTAATAATACTCACGTGTCTTGATGATCTGCAGAACTGCAGAATATTTAAAGAGAGATGATATAATTGGTTTTGATAAGTGTTAAGAGAGAGATGAAGACAGGCAATGATATGATAATAATAATAATAATGATAATAATAATGATAATAATGATGATGATGATAATAATGATGATGATGATAATGATAATAAAAGAGAGAGTGCATCAGAATATATTATTGACTTATCAAATATAAAGAGACAAAGAAACTATTAACAGTTTTCAGAGATGTACAGAAACAGCTACAGTGTTGTATAACAATATTATCTTCATTCAATACATGCACTATTGATATTCTTTGTATACATTTATCATATAATCTATATCAGAAATACATGCAGAAAACAGATCTTTATTGCTAGAGAGAATGATTATAACAATTCTCTGTTTTCATATTATAAAGATAAGTTATTCTCATTTCTTTCTTCTTTCTTTTCTCTTCTTCTTCAACTCATCACTAAGTTCAAGCTGGTATGAAAACTATTAAAACACTCATAGAAACTCTCAAATTGAAGAGTATAAACTAATTAAATTTTAAATGCAGATGAATGAAATTAATTCAATAATACTAATTATTCATCTCTCTCTTAATAAAACAATAGTTGCATCTTTCTCTTCCTCTCTCAAATGAAACATGGCTTGTGAAAAGCAAGTATCACATCAGGTCATAATAATTAACACAGCCTCAGCATACAGAGCTGTATACACACAGTGCATGCTGAACTGAGAGACTGCATGAGTTACAAACTGATGACAGCATCTCAGAGAGAGCTGTGCAGTGTGAAAAAGCTGTAACTCTCAGTTACATACACAGAGAATGAATTATCATAGTAAGTGTATATACATTGTATAAAAGTAACACTTTTTGATAACACTTAGTCTCTGATATCATGAAAATAGAGTCTCTCTGTGAGATCTGTTTTTATCAGAAGTTGAGAGATCTTATATTTCTCAAGATCATCTTTATATGTCTTATCTGTGAAATCAATGAGAAGAATCATCAATTTCAGTGTTCTGTTCTTAATGTTATTCAAGTAACAGCAGAGTTCATCCTGATCATACTTTTTAAGTGTATATTTTCTAATTATTCACATTTATACAGATATATACTGATTATTTATTAGATAATGTTAAGACAATGACTCATCACAGCTGTGTTACTCTCACTGTGAGAAATACATAATTGATAATAAATATTGTAAAGACTCTGAGAAGTGAGTATTTTAAGAGTACTGTAGCTCTGCAATCTTGATTTTTTTTGTTTTTATTTTTTATTTTTTTCTTTTTCTTTTCTTTTTTTTTTTTTAATGTGATTTTTTCTTGTGTTTATTTTGTTTTTTGTTTTTTGTTTTTTTTTGTATTTTATGTTTTTTTCATAATTAAAATTATATGAATTATAATCTATGTTTAGAAAAGTAATGATATTTGATAATACTCTCTATTGAATTTTCAACAAATGAGCACTATGTTATGATATTATGTAAGTGAGAAGTGATTTCATGATCTCATTTAATGCCATTCTCAATAATGAAATCAGAATGAAAATATGACTAAGAATTCAAACATATTCTTTATTCAGAACTAGATTTTTATTTGAAAAGTGAATCTGAGATCTTTAATATTTGAAATAACATGATTTGAGATCAATGTAATGAATACAAATCATGACCAGAAGTAATGCTTTTAGGCAATGTGACAACTGTAAAGTTTTGTCCTGATCTCAGACACGGTCACACGGTCAGTCTACCTGTTTGCCGGCAGCTCCGCCATGCAACGGGACCACCTGCCATGTAGATGATATAACCGGTGATTGAACGGGATCCTGGATCCCTACCGGCTCAATCGGCATCTGTGTATGCTACAGGTTCAATTTCAGCATCTCTGTGATAGATTATACTCTCATTAATTAAACTCTGTAGATATCAGAGCATACACTTGTATGCAGCCCAGTTCTTTGATGTAGGCTGAGAGCTGAATTGTTCAAGGAATTCTGCAGTGAAGCTCATATCAGAACATGTATTGAATGCCAGATATTGCAGAGATCTGATACCAGATTGATAGAACTGTAGAATAAATTCTACTGTGTATATAATTAGTTTCTCATTATTATTCATGAAATTGACATTCTTCTTCATAGAAGTGAATGTAGAATGACAGTCATTTATTAAGAACTTCTTCAGAAGATTTCTTATAAAGAGAGATTGAGACAATATTAATAAAGTTAAATCTCTATCAATCTTCATTTCTAGATAGTGATTGAAATTCCCTACATTCTTGATCTCATAATTAGCAGCAATTTCAGCTCTGGCCCAGTTCAGATCTTCAATTTTCAGGCTGTAGAGACAGACATTATTCATGTAGATAATTATATAGACCTGTCTTTCATCATGAATAAATAGTTCAGTATCATAGAAACTGATATAGAAGTCTGAGTATAATAGTATCTTTCACAGCTTCTCATATTATAAGAGTGCTGCTTGCTTAAGACTGTAGAGTCTCTGCATCAACTTACACACAAGATCATCACAGTCTTTGCAGAATTCTGTGAATTGATTCATATATATCTGTGTAAGAAATTCCGCTCCTCGCGGATTCTTTACCCCTATTCCTATCTCTCATGTAACCAATAGGGCTAGCGGCTCTTGGCTACACACAACTATATAGACTGGAGTTCATGAATACTATTCATAACTCAGCTTGAATGCTATTATACATTAGATCTCTACATTTTATCTTTCTACTGTAAATACTTCTAGTAGTTAACAGTACATATCATATCAAGCTGTAAATACCTGAATAATCACCTGTGAGCACTTATTCTTATATTTCAAGCTCAGTCAGTCAGCAACTGCCTGTTATGACTGAAAGAACTAGAAACTCACATACTTCAACCCCTGTGAACCCTACTGCAGGCACTCAGAAGCAGTCACTCAAATCATGAATAATCTTCATAAAAGAAGTCTCAGAGAACTTATCAATTACTCATGAGACATCATTCTCTGCATCTGTGACAGAGAAACCCTCTGAATCTATAAATAAACTAATCTCAGTGAAGAATATTCTTGTGCATCTCTCACAGAATCAAGCTATTTTTCTACAAGAAATGCTTACTGTCTGTAAACACTCTCAAACTGAGTCTCTAGACATGATCTTCAGAGACACTTATGAACTGAAAAGAAACTTTCTTAAGCTACAATCACTTAAGGCCACTTATTGAATTATAATCTATAAAAGCTTTTATGAGTTTGCATTTGAAATTGACTTACAAGCTCAGCTGTGTGACATGAAAGATGAAGAAGCTGTTATCTATGTGATAACAGGCCTCTATTACACTGAAGTCAAGGACTGGCTGAATTATCTAGAGAATGATTATGAGAGATTCTGCTAATTCATTCTCAAGACCTATCTAGAGAATAAGTTAGAGAACTTCATAAGCTGAACAGAGAACATCTGGGCTGTGATTATCAATATTAGAAAAAGAGGTGAAGAATCTGATGAAGACTACTCACAGTACTTTATAAAATTATGATATAAATTGAGATCTGTGAAAACAGGGCTCTGAAACAAGATCTGAATGATGATATTTACAAAGAGACTGAATAAAGACATGCAGAATAAGCTTATTAAGCAAGACTCTAAGTTCTTGACTCTGAAGAAACTGATGACTCTCATTCACTGCTTATGAATCACTGTGAGAGTCACAGATCTGTGAAGAGCAGATCACTGACCAGCCCTGCAAGAGCCAGAACAACAGAGAACAGATTTATCAGAAAAAGATGATAAGATATAGAGAGATTTGTATCTGACTGCTGAGCAGAGAGAGAGAGCTTCATAAGCTTCTGTGAACAGAGTGTATAACAGAGAGACTAAGAAAAAGAGACTCTACTTCATCTGTTCTAAATCAGAACATCTTCATATAAACTGTCTGAACAAATCAAAATAGAAATTTGAGAAGTTATGAACAGAGTCAGTAACAGTCTTCTTAAGAATCTTGAAGCTAATACCTGAATCTGTTACTTCTCTGATGAAAATGCTTACTCATAGAAAGAGACTGCATCACAGTACTACTATTCTGCAAGTATAAGAAGTATTAATAAACTCAGAATCTCAGATCACTGTGATGTCTCTAAAGCTTTCAGAGTGAATGAGCTGAAAGATGAAGACTGAGAACCTGCTCTTATAATAAGCAGAATGTGAGAACTCAGACCTGAGAGCTGAGAGACTTATAAGAGTTATCTTTGAATTGCAAGATCTCTCTGAAATCTGAAGAAGATTTGTAGAAACTGTGATTATCACAGACATTGTAGATAACATGTACTTGAGACTTATATAACTTCAAAGATACAATTTACACATAGCTGTCTGTGAGTCAGGTTTATACTTTCAATCAGTGTTAGCAGACTTACTTACAGAGATAGAATCAGTTGATGCTGCAGAGTTGATTAGAGAAGATAAGCTCATCTATATAATGACTTTGTGAGTGTCTGAGAATCTCACAGTCATGAAAACTGAGCTTCAGATACTAGAGAAATACTGAGATCTTACAGAGATATTCAGCTCAGTAAAGGCAGCTGAGCTTCTCTCTCACTGTGAGAAGAATCTGATAATAAATTTAATAGAAGAATAGAAACTCTTCTGAGAATCAATCTATAAGCTCTTTCACTATGAGACAGAGATCTTATGAATCTATGTAAAGAAGAATCTAAAGAATGACTTCATCTGATCTTCACAGGCCTTCATAAGAGCCTCTGTGATATTTGTAAAGAAGAAGAATAGAGATCTCAGATTGTGTGTAGATTATTATGA